CGACGCGACGGCCGCGGGCCGCCGCCAGCGGAGCGCGCCGTGGAGCGCCGCGAGCGCCGACGCGCCGTGCGCCGCGGCGTCGAAGTCCGCCTCCGCGACCTCGAAGGCCGCGTCGGGCGCGTAAAACCTGACGTGGAACGGCGCCTCCGCCGTCCGCTCCTTCTTCGCGCCCGCGGCGTCGGGGTTCGCGCCCAGCGCGTAGACGTAGACCCGGAGTCGCGCGCCGCGCGCGCCCCGGCAGAACGTCGCGCCCCGGTCGAAGCAGTCCGCGCCGCGGAAGCACGCGGCGACGACGCGGCCGGTCTCGTCCACCGCTACCAGCTGCAGGTCCCCGGGCCGGTACGAGACCTTGCGGTCGCCGCGGCAGAAGGTCCCCCGCTGCGTCGGCTGCAGCGCCGTGACGAAGAGGTCCGTGTCGCCCTCGAAGACGACGTCGTAGATCTTCCGGGCGACGCGCCACGGCTCCTTCTTGGCGGGGAAGGCGTTCCGGAAGGACGCGGCGCGCGGCTTCTCCGCGGCCACGCAGACGTCCACCCTGGAGAAGCCCATGAGGAAGTGCGTGAAGTCGATCCAGAACGTGCCGTCGTTCACGCCCGTGCGCTCGTTGCCCCGCGACGACGAGACGACGTCGGCCCACTTTTCGGACGCGTCGGACCAGTCGCCCGTCCACTCGCCGACGCCGTGCGGGTTCCGGATCCGCAGGAGCCGCGTCGCGGCGCCCGCGGCGTCGACGACGGTCGCGACGTCCGTGATCGAGTAGGCGTGGCTCCCGCAGAGGCCGACCTCCCGCAGGTCCGGCTGCGGGTCCGTCGCGCAGCCCATGGGGAACCGGCGCGCGCGCCACCGCTCCAGGCTCCGCCAGAGCCGCTCCGAGTCGAAGTTGCGCGCCGCGAAGTCGACGCAGAACGTCGGCGCGCCCGTCAGATCCAGGAGCGCCTCGGCGATCTGCCCGCCGGAGATGGACTTGAAGGAGCCGTGGGCCTTGGCGTAGGCCTTCTCCAGGAGCGGCGCCCAGAGCGTCGTGGCGCCCGTCGTCGCGCAGCGGCTCCGCACGTACGCGAGGCTCAGCCCGCCCGCGGTCACGGGCGCCGCGGCCGCCGCCGTGTTCTCGCGCCGCGGCTTCGAGGTCACCGGGAGCTGGTCGTCGACGAGGATCGTCGTCCACGCGCCGTCCATGAAGAGGCGCAGGCCCTGGCAGCCGCTCGCCGCGCGCGCCGTGTCGAGGAACAACTTCGCGACGAGGTCGTGGCGCTCCGCGACGACGCTCAGCGCCGAGAGGAACCAGCAGTCGCCGAGGCCGCCCTGCGCGAGGTCGTTGGCGGAGAAGCCGTAGTCCGTGACGACGGCGACGGTCCCGTCGAGCCGCGCCCACGCGAGCTGCGACCGCTTCCGCGGGCCGTCGCCGGCCCAGGCGAAGAAGCCGCACCGGCGCGTCGCGCAGCGCCAGTAGCTCCGGCCGTCGTTGGGCGTGGTCGACTTCACGACGTCCGTGACCGCGAGGGCCTTGCAGGCGCAGAACGGGTGCGCCGCCGGCGCGGGCGCGGGCGCCTCGTCCGCCTCGCCGACGAGCGACGCGGCCGCCGCCGGGAACGCGTCGTCGACGTAGGGCTCGCGCGCGCCCGCGAGGGCCGCGCAGCGCGCCGCGTCCGCCGCGGGCGCGGCGTCGTCGTCGCGGTCCACGCGCGTGCGCCGGCCGGCCAACGGCGGCGCGGCGGCGCGCGGCTTCTTGCGCGGCTCTTCCGCGCCGTCGTCCTCGCGCGGCTTCTTGCGCGGCTCGTCTTCGTCGTCCTCGCGCGGCTGCGCGCGGGGCGCGTCGTCGTCCTCGCGCGGCCGCTTCGGCACGACGTCGACGATCTCGACGTCGTCGTCCTCGTCGGACGAGACGGTCAGGTCGATCATCTAGGAGAGGCGCCAACTCCGGACGAATGGCATCATGACGGTAACGTTGAAGAAGGTCCGGAGCTTCAGGCCTTGGCGTAACAGCGGCAGGCGCGCCCCGCGTCCCGGGCCGAAGGCGTGCGCCGCGAGCGTCTCGCGCCGGCGTCCGCAC